AAAGATACCCTCTTCCCATTCAAAGAAAGAAAGAGCAGATCTTCAAGAGTCTGTGGGACAATAACAGAAGTTCAGTATTTGTGACATTGTAATCCCAAAAGAAGTGAATGGAACATTCTGTTCCTTTTCTGGAAACATCAGGAATGAATGAGAAGCAACAGATGTAGTAAATATCTTGGAAATGCAATACACTAGTCTTTTTCTGGTGAATGCTTTGAAGTATGTTTGATAGGTGAAAGCAAACATGGGATTTTCAGCATATGAAGCTTGACAATGAAGTTTGTAAACTCATCTTAGAAAATGTGCTACATACCTCTTGCTGAATATCACTATGGTTACCTCCTAAGCACTCCCCTTGGGAAGCTAGTCCACCCTTCAAAGCAATTTTGTAACTCTCTCTCTGGAATGGCCATCAGAGTGTCATCATATTACTCTTGATGTCTTGCACATACTCAAAATGTCTTCCTTTTATTTCCTTTGTCTTCCAGTAAAGAAAAAATGTATTAGTGGCCAGATCAGGTGAGTAGGGAGGGTGTTCCAATGTAGTTATTCATTTACTGGCTAAAAACTCCCTCACAGACAGTGCTGTGTGAGCTGCTGCACTGTCATGATGCAAGAGCCATGAGTCATCCCAAAGTTCAGCTCATTTTCAGTTATATTTTCCTGTTTCTCTATCGAATGTTTACTTGGTCTGCTGTGCTTTTACACCAGCCAATGATTTTGATGCACAACTGGATGTAATTTTGCAATGTTTTCATCAATTCTGCTCATTACTAGCAGCACTGACTTCTCTTCATCAGTGATGCTTTCTTTCCCCTCAGAAAAACATTTAATCCATTTGTACACTGCCATTTCCATCATGGCATTATCCCCATATACTTAAACTCACATGTTCCTGATTTCACTTACACTCTTAGCAAGTTTAACAAGAAATTTAATGTTTAATCATCACTGTAATTCAAGCTCTGACATTCTCATGAGGGCAGACAAAAACACGCAACAATAATAATGAATGCCACTCAGCAAGATACTCCTACATGGTGATGGGAACACAGCTGTGAGACACTGGCATACCAAGGTTATAAAACCTATTGAGTTGTTCGTTCCGTGTTGACAAGCATAAGTTCGTGAACTTAACTGTCAGACCCTTGTATATATAAGTAAATGTAATATATAGAAAAATAATAACATAAAAGAGGAGAATAAAGGGACCTGTATTGTAGTACATTTTTGATATTCTACTCAAAGTGGTAAAATATTGATTCTAGCTACATTGCCAAAAGTTAAGTATGTACATATTACGATTCTCTGTGAACTCAAAAGGAGTTCAGGAAAGGGAAAACAGGGAAACAAGCAGAAAAAAGTGATATATCTAAATAATCCAAAAATATCTGTAATGACGTTAAGTATGAATGGTTTAAACACATGAATTAAGACAGAGGATGTCCGAAATGATAGGGGAAAAAAGCATAAGCCCAACTCTATGCTGTATTAAAGAAATTCATTTCAAATATGCTATTATTAAGTTAAAGTAAGAGGATGGAAAAGTGTATAAATGAGAAACAAAAGATGCAAATACTAATCAAAAGAAAGATGGAATTGGGCTATATTAACGGTGAACCAATTTTTATCATCATGGAAAACTTGTTACTAACAAATTTTTATACTGGGACTTATTTAGCATCTGTACCAGCTAAGGGAAGATTGAATGATCTGAATTTGTTGAGAAGTTGGGGAACTTCACATTTCACAAGGGATGTTCTGTGACTTCCTGAATAATACAAAATTATTATATGATGTACTATATTATGTTAGATGACATTTTAAATGGTAATGAAATGTAACATGTGTTGTGTCAATAATGCACATAAAGTGAGGACAGTGTGAATGAACGTTGACCTATAGGCAAAGACAACCAACCTGCACAATTCCCTCCTAGTAATCAACTCTTTTAAAGGCCATAGCTTGTATGAAACATCTACATTAAAAGTGTGATTTTTAGACTAATGCACAGAATAATGTCTGGGAGATCATTTATCTCAAAGTGTTCATATTTATCTGTAGGTCAGCCAGTTGGTTGACAAATGTGTTATCAGTACTTGGAATATAACAATGAACAAAGAACATTTAAAAATCTGACCTTGGGGAGCTTACATTCTAGCAGGACAGACATGCAATAAATAATTAACATAATATATAGGTTAGATGGTAAATGTTATGGGAAAAGAAAAGGGCAAGGGAATGGGGAATCAGGAGAGTAGGGGGTAGGGGTTAAGTGTGTCTAGATGGGGTAGGCTATAGTAGGGTTAGGGGAATCAGGGTAGTTTCTTTAAGAAGTTGACATGTGAGCAGACATGATGAAGGAATGGAAGAGTTAGCTAACTAGATGTCTGGTAGAAGAGGTTCTAAGCAAGGGACTAGCTGGTACAAAAGTGCCAAGGCCAAAGTGTGATAGATGTCTATGTCCCTTATTGATCAACAAGCAAATAGGGAGAATATGGTAGGAGGTGATGTCAGAGAGGAACCAGGGCCATATTGTGCAGAGGCTTTCAAGTATCCTAAGGATTTTGGTTTTTGTTCTCAGACAGCCATTGGATCATAGGAATGTTGCAGTTTCTGTGATCATATCTCTTCAATTTTCATGGAGACCTCTCTCACTTGTCTTTTGAACAAGCATATGCTTTATTATTTCTTTTGGGATGCAACGACAAAGTTGGAATAATTCAAATATATTTAATACTTAAAATGGGAAATATTTTCGTGTACATTATTTCTTTTTATACCAGGCAGCACTCTGTTTTTTCAAGCACTTGGCAGCAGTCCCCAACCTTTTGGAGGAACCGTCCTTGGAAGACAATTTTCCATGGATGGTGGGGAGGAACATTTTATCTTCATAAGGAGAATCATAATCTCATTATGCACAGCCTAGATTGCAGTTTAAAGTAGGGTTCTTGTTCCTGTGAGAGTCGAATGCCTCCCCTGACAATAGGAGGCAGAGCCCAAGTGTTGATGCCAGTGATGGGATTGGCTGTCCATACCGATGAAGCTTCACTTGCTTGCTCACCACTCACCCACCTTGCTGTGTGGCCTGGTTCTTGACAGGCCATGGACCAGTACTAGTCTGCGGCCTGGGGGTTGGGGACTAAAGACCTAAAGAATAGTTGTGATCACAGCTTTTAAGGCTGCCTCTTTAAAATATTTTGAATGTTAGTTGGCATAGCTGAAGATAGAAGGATAATTACTTTGACCATTTGACACCAGCTTTGAAAGAGAAAAGATAATAGCACATGGGCAATAAGTCAAATATATAGATCACATAGTCATCCCATATGCCCTTGCAGTCACTCTGTATTTTTTTATTTTTTATTATTTTTTAATGTAGCTGATGACATTTTCTGGGTGAGGGCCGATCTATAAATTTAATCTGTGGCTTAATGAAGACACTTGCTTTTTCTGGAATTGAATTATTCACACTTAGGGATGGAGGACTTCTGACTGCTAGACAATTCTTGAGGCAAATTCTGGGATCAGGTGTGGTGACAGGAAGGTTTCTAGAAAGGGCATTGTAAGTGGTGTTGCTTTTTAAAATCTGTAGAAAGTAGTGCTGTCTTTATTATTCCTAAAGGAAATGAATAAGTGGAAAATATAAAAGAGAAATTATACCATTGAGATGGTCTCTTTATTTTGGGGAAACTTCTTCCCTTTTCTTTGTAAGATGATTAATGGGTTGATTTTATTTAACTGTGGGAAACAACTTAAACCACTAAATGTTTATATTGAAAGAAAATAAATTAAAAAAAAAGTCAGTGAAGCTTTCTGTAGGCCACATGGCTTGCCCCCAGCCCATAAATGCTCTGTCTGACTTTCCAACACAACTGCCAAACACTGCCTCCACACATTCTTTGTGAAACTTCTTTTCCATTCCAAATCCACTTGGTACTTTCATTATGGTCTTATTAAAATTGAAAGATGTCCAAAGGGACTTGTAAGATGGATTTTTGCCTTTATTGAGGAGTATAAAAAAAGGAAGTACACAAAAGCATTTCTAGTTGGTATCTTTTCAGAAAGACATATTGATAAAAAGAAATAGTGTCACTTCTATAGACAGAAGATCTTTTAATTTGACATTTTTTAATGGTGAGCATTTGGGTAAATGTATATGGTTTCCCTGTATCTTAGCAACTTGTATAATATCCTGGGTAAGACTATTGGAACAGATAATATTATTCTCTTTACATGTAGAACATGAGTAAATGTACCTAAAAGATATATATGTTGACTGTGGACTTTATATAAGTGCAGACACATACTCAATAATAAAGGTTCTCAGGATTAGGTCAGTTTTACCTGATTTTGTATCTCTCTCTCTCTCTATTTCCTCTAAATCTTTGTCTTTGGAGATCTGATAACTCTTTATCTATGTCTCATATATGCAAAACTTATTATGGAGGTCTGGGAACACTTCTTCTTTGCTCCCATATGTAGACATATATACTTAAATGTAGATAAAACCTCTTATAAAAGACAAACCCATTCACCAGTATGGTCCATCTGTCATTCTCTTCATTATCGCTCTCTCTCTCTCTCTCTTTTTTTTTTTTTAAGAGACAGAGTGTAACTTTATCACCCTTGGTAGAGTGCCATGGTATCACAGCTCATAACAACCTCCAACTCCTGGGCTTAAGTGATTCTCTTGCCTCAGCAAGAGACCCCTAGTCCCTCCTGAGTAGCTGGGACTACAGATGCCCACCACAATGCCTGGCTATTTTTTTGTTTCAGTTTTTGGCTGGGGCCAGGTTCAACCTGCTATCCTCGGTTTATGGGGCTGGCACCCTACCCACTGAGCCACAGGTGCCCCCCCCTTTCATTATCTCTTTATGGAAATATATAAAGACCAGCAAGAAATGTTTTTGGGAAGGGAGTGTTGGGACCTGGACACTAGCACCCATAGGTCAGGTAAAACTTGTGAATTACACTTTTAAATTATTTTTATCTTTTAGATCCTGAATTTGCCTGAGTTGATTGATGACTCCAGATACAAAACTAACCACCTTCGGGTACAAAATAGAAAAGAGCTTATTAAAATACTCTCTGCACGGTAAGCATCTAGTATACAATTAAAAATTAAAATGTAGTAAGCATTTGTCTGGTGCTTCGTGGGTTTTTTCTTGGCTTACTGGGATCAATTTGTATTTTTATTTCACTTTGCAACATTTGTTAGTGGAAAGATATTTTGAAGCTATGTTATATTTGTTCAAAAGCATTTGAAATTATTTTATATAATTTACTAAGTACTGAGTCATAACAATGATACAAGTTGTTGAATTAAGTTATTTATGTGGTTTCGAACTGTTTGGGTAATAACAACAATGATAATTAAACATTATTTTGTACTTTCAATGTGTTAAATGCTCTACATACATTATTTCATTTAACCCTTGTAATCATTCCATGCAGTGAGTTCAGTTATATCCATCTTATAAATGAGGAAACTAAGGCAAAGAGAGGTGAAGTCCTGAATTTGTTAGGTTTCCTCTTATGAATCATAATGATATTTCTGGGTCACTATTTTTGAAAATGCCATGTTGAGTTATAAGGCATAAAATAATGTTAATTATTTGATTTCCAAATTATTTTGTTCATGTCTGGTTGTGCTTTTGTACCATCTCTACCAGTGTTCGTGCCTGTCTCACAGAATGTAGTGAAACTTACCTTTCCCTGTCACTTTTGCTTCTCAATCTGTAGAAATAGGAGTTATAGTTTTTTGAATCCAAATGTCCACATGAGCTGTTGTCCAATATTTAAAATTTACTCTCATCATGCCAGTAATTTTGATACTTTTGTTCAAATGCCATATCTAGTCTTTTGAAAAGGCTCCTCTGTTTCTATGTAGTATATATCGAAGTTCTTAAAAAATAAAACTCTGCTGATGTCATTTTTATTTCTGTTCCCTTATATTTAGGGATCTCTACATGACGGAATCAGTGCTCATTTACCTATTTGCTCTTTTCTGGAGTTTAAACACTTCTTCTCTACACTGTATCTTTTCCATGTGCCAAATGCTTTTCACATCAATAGGGGCTCTGTGTGTGGCACAGAGACACAGAATGGGGGAATGAGAATTGGGTGCCCCTTTCTGTGTCATCAGTTAAATATAACTGATTCCACTGCTAAGCCCCAGAGCCCTCAATGATTAACCTTTCTCCACATGAGAATTGGCTATTTATTTCTGCTTTTTGCCTCTTTGCATCTCAAGCATTTTTAATTCATTTAATTCATTGATAAGACTTTTTCCTTTCACACCATGGTTACCAAGTTTCAATAATAGCCACTTGTGAGAATTTTATCAAAAGCTCTTTGATAGTCTAAATAAATCATGTCCATGCTGTGAGAAGAATGGATCCCAAGAAAAATACAAAACGTAGGCAGTTGAAGTGTCATCTTGTTACTTAGTTGCCATTGCTTTCACAGCTTCAAGAACCACAAAGTTAAGTCATTGGTTTCCTGTGTCCTAAAGTGTTTATTCCTTGCTAAATTCTGTTATCGGATTCAAATGTGGAAAGACTTTTGGCAGCATCTGCAACAGATTAATATCTATTTTCCCTTGTTAAGGGAGAATTAAATAACTTGTCACCTTTTTGCTGCTCTTATATATACAAAAGTGGGAATTTTTGCACTTTGGAATCCATCAGGTTGACATATTTTTATTCAGACTTAACAAGAAATAAGATATCAAACCACAATGAGGACACTGGGAAGGTAGTTTTAAGAAAGGAAAATTTGAGAAGAAGGTCACATCATCATAGGTCCTGCAGTTAACACAGACTGCAGACAGAGCTGTTGATTGGTTGCTTGGAGGCTGGGTTTGTGCTCTCTTCTGCTAGTGTATTAAAATTTTGGGGTGTTTTCCTACGGTTTGCAGTTCATTGGGTCTCCTGCAGCTTAAGTATCCTCTCCTCTGTGGTAGTTTAAACAGTGACCACCAGGAAAGATTAGAATATTGATTGATTCTCACTTATAACCTTGTAATTTATTTACAGGATAGGTTTTATTTAACAATTCAAGTGTTACAGCTCTCACAAAGAACCAAGCTTCCTTGCAGAGCAGGATCAGCAGTAAGATAGGTTTTATAATATGAGTGTTACAGCTCTCACAAGGAACCAAACTTCCTTGCAGAGCAGGATCAGCAGTAATAGAAGTGTTACAGCTCTCACAAGGAACCAAACTTCCTTGCAGAGTAGGATACAAGTGTTACAGCTCTTACAAAGAGCCAAACCTCCTTGCAGAGCAGAATATACCTGTTACAGCTCTTGCTCTTCTGCACTCGCTCTCTCTTTCTCTCTCAGGTCTGCGGCAGTCTACGCTTGGGCTCTCTGCTCAGGGGCTTATATATGGGCAGTTGTCCAATGAGCTTTTGGGTCCTGAAAACAGACCAATCAGGAGCAGGTTTTGAAAATAGACCAATCAGGGATGCACTGGAGGAATCGCCAGTGTCTTCCCCCCTGGTGTCTGGTTCCTTTGGAGTCTCCATTGGAGGAGGGAAGCTCTCCCCGCTGCCACCAACACTGCCAAGATGGAGGTGGCAGGTTCTCCAGCCTCACTCGGCTGAGCTGGCTGGGGTGGCACCTGTCCAGTATCAAAAGCATCATTGGATTCATTAGTACTATTTAGTGCTTGGCTTTTAGAAATCTCTGCAAATGCTTTAAAATTTATCATTCTCATTATACTAGTGTTTTCCCAATATTCAAAAACATTTTGTGGTTTTCCATAAATTACAGGATTAAATCTGGTCTCTTTAGTCTGACATCCAGAATCTTCCATCTTTTCTGTTATCACTTTTTTTATCCACCTTTTCTCCTAATATGCATCAGAAATTAGGAAGCTCCTACGTCAGCTGTATTCCCCTGTGGTTTCTTTTGTTTCCTTTCTGAAATCTCATGGTTACCATTATTCAGAAACATAGTTATTCTTCAAGGCCTATTCTTCCTTCCTGTGAAACTACCCTCTAATATCTATCTCTGTGTGGGTTCTCAGTCAGATGACAACACCTTCAAGAAAGAGTTTCTTCTGAGCATAGTCAGTTGTCCAGCACAAGCACAGTCAGTGTTGGTAGTTGCTGGGAATGGCATTGTTCAGGGGCTGTTCTGTCAGCACATGGAATGTTCCTTTTATTTTGTAGCCATTTCAGAATGTGTGAATCACTTTGTTTTCTAAGGACAGAGTTACATTAGCTCCCAGCCACAATAAGGGGTAGAGAGAAAGGAAGGAGAGGAAGTGGCATTTGATAGATGCCAAGGTTAGGCCAGATAAGTATTACTAATTTTCTATTTTAAAGATGAAAATCCTGAAGGTTAGGGAGGTTAGTTCCAAAGACATAGCGGATAGTTAGAAATGGATTTCAAAAGGCCACACATTTTTCATAATTTATTTCCTCCTCTTAGTGGCACATGAGATGTTACTGTGTGCTTGTTTTATTCATTCAGTAAATATTTACTGAGCACTTAACTGGGGTAGGCTCTGTTACAAGCATTGGGGATAGAGAACTGAATGAAATAGATACAGTAAATTGGTGAAAAATAATGCAGGAAGGCAAAAAAGGAGAGCCAAAAGTTGTGTGTGAGGCTGGCTGTTTCATTAGTCTTGCCAGAGAGGACCTCTCTGAGAAAGTAACATTTGAACAGAGGTCTGCAAGAAATAAGAGGATATTGGAGGGAGGCCAGCAAATAAGTGGGGGAAGGATCCTAGGCAGAGTTTAAGGAGTAGCACAGAGGACAGTGTGCCCGGAGCTAGGAGCAATAGGAAGAGTGGAGGTGGTTGGGTTCAAAGAAGATAGGGAAGGTGGCAGGCAGATTCTCTTGTGAAGTCATTACAGCCCATGTGACAAACTAGGTTCTTAATTTTGTGAAATAAAGGATTTTTTTTTTTTTGTCAACAAATGAGTTTGATTATCAGCAAGTTCTATTTTCTCTCTAATCTAAAGAGAAATCTTGAAGGAAATAATTAACCAGGTAGAATTTAAAGTATGCCAGCACCATGGAGTCAGAAGGACTTCCTTGTTCACCTGGAGAGGAGGGCCTGAGTTTAAATTACATAAGCTTCTCATTCATTCATTCATTCACTGTCACTTATTTGCTCAACAAATATTTATCAGACATCTACTAGATGCTTAGGAACTTTCTGGGCACCAATACTATGCATTAAAAAAAAAAAAGAAAAATTCCCTGCCCTCATGGACTTTCACCTTTGCAGACTTTCTGAAAGGTGTGTTTCTTTTGTTGTTGCTATTTCTTTTGAACCCTTTCACCAGACATCTGTTTTGATGAGACTAAGAAGTTAGTTTTCCATATTTTTCATATAATCTTTTTAAAAAATTAGTTACTTTCCCCAAAGCATCGCAGCTCTAGGCTATGCCTATTAATCATTTATTGTCTTTTTGTGTTTTTTTGAACATGTTGCTATACATGCTACAATTTTTTTAAATGTGGTTTGTCAATCATTTCTATAGTAAAAGTGTATTTTTAGTTACAGTAACTACATTACCATGTGAGTACATCATATTTTACTGGTTGTTTGTTATCAAATATTACATCATAAACACTTTCCTTTAATTCTTATAGGCCTTTCCTTAGCCTGTTTTTATTTTAGAAAACCTTTAAAATATGTAAAAATGTAGGATTTGTAAGAGTGACTTTGCATGGCACATAACTTTAAAAACAAACTCTAAGAATGATGGACTCATTGTGTTTATTTAAAAAAAGAAAACCTCTCACTTCTTATGCCCAATTTGATATCCAAAAGTGATAACAGAAACATTTATGGATTTTTTACAAAATCTTCTCTCCTAAATATACCCATGGATTTCCTCTTGTGTTTCAAAATCTTCTTTTCAAAGTTTTTTTTCAGGAGCAATTTTATGTACTTCTCTCTCTGCCCATGGTAAGCATTCATTTAAAATTTTTGGAATCAAGTGGTTCTCCCATGAAATTTGTAGACTCTTGTGAAAGTGCTTACTGGAGGTGTCAGTCACTTACCTCACTTCTCTGTTATTCTAACTAAGTACAGTTTGACGCTACTCTCTGAGGGCGATCAGCTTCATTC